GACTGACCGCGCGGTGATTTACCCCTTCCGCCATAAGGAGGGCGCGCAACGAGCGCGCCAACCGGGCGATCCGGGAATCCGGGGACGCCATGGTCACCCACCGCAAAATATCCGCAGGCCGTGTGCTACCCAGCGGGGACGTTCTCCTACAAGCAGACAGCCTGGAAGATGTAGAGCGGCTCACTCGATCCAGCGCGTGGATACGCGCGTTCGGAGCCGATGCAGCCATCAAGAAACAGACCTACGGGGTGGTCATGCACGGCGTGGATTGCCACCAGCTCACTGACGGCAAGGCCGCCGACCTCATTGCACGCCTGAAAGCTGACAACGCAGACTGCTTAACAGCCACCCCTACAGAGATCATCTACGCAGGGTGGCTGTATGGGCAGCGAAAGGTGGACGCAGAAAAGCTGCGGAGCTCCTTAGTTCTAGTGGATTTCGACAGCGACAGGCCAGCAAACCGGGCACTTGAGCCCGGCCTCGCGCTAGATGGTAAGAACCATGCCTGCGCCTACTATGACCGGAACTTCCGCCTCTAGCAGTTCTTTAACTGTCAGCTCTATGGACACATCGCAAAGTACTGCAAGCGACCCACTGCCGGCCCCTACTGCGCGGGCCGGCATCCCCCTACTGAATGCCCGGATGCCAGGGACCGGGAGAAGGCTAAATGCGCGGTCTGTGCCGCTGCGAAACAGCCAGATGACGACCATTTCGCCTCCGACCGTAGCTGCCCCATCCGCGGGCACAAGCAGGCCCTTATCCGTGCAGAGAGACTAAGGGGACCCCAATTCCATGCTCCCGCGGCCCGCTGGCCCTGGAGACATTCCCATCATCAACTACCGGCACTGACCGCGCAGTCAACCCGACACCGGCAGAAGCAGCGGCTCGGGCTGACACCACCATGGCGGAAGCTCCCCCAACGGCGCCCTCAAACCGGCCCTCGACCCGGCCCCTGACCAGGAAGCCAGCAAGCCGATCCAAGGCGCGCAATGCGGCCTCACGCAGTAAGAGCACCCGCCGATGGGGCCAGATGAACACGCGGAGAGCATCTCCACGGGTGACGGCAAACGAATCTGACTGGCCCGCCAGGCCAGCCGGGAGCCCGGGACCGCACGGACGAAGATGTCGGTGGCAGCACCCGGAGGGTGCCTCCCGCCTGCTTGACCACGAAGGAATGGCTGCTATAGTCATGGAGACGCCGGCAGTGCAGCGCCGGCGCTCCCGCTCCCGACCCAACGCGAACCCCGAGCTGGACCTGGTCAAGCCCGGCATCAACCCCCATAGCGACGCCCTCTCCGCCATGACCCTAAGCAGGGTCGGCAAGAAGAGCAGGCACAGCAGCCAGAGGGAGGCCGAATCTGATCGACGAGTGTCTGCTGAGGTAGACCAGTTCGTTGATGCTAAAGACTTCGATACAGCTGAGCAGGGCTCTAGTGAAGGCACTGAACTATGACTACAGAGCCTACACGTCGCATATTGCAGGCCAACGTCTGGCACTCGCGCGAGCGAGTCATGATGCACCTCTTTGGTGAGAAAAGGGTTCAGGAGCTTGAGATCCTGGCTATTCAGGAGCCGAGCATCAGCCGGCATACCGCGCCGGTTTCCACCCACTCGCAGGCCGTCGGGGGCCGATTCCACGTTCTACTGCGGCCCACGGCCCCGGCAGACGTGGCAGACACTCCCCGGGTCTGCTTCCTTGTCAACAAGCGTCTAGACCCGAACACATGGTCCATACGGCACTGGTGCCGGGACCTCAGCACCCTGACGCTCCAGCTTACGGGGCGGCGCCTGATTCACATCCGTAACATCTACAACCCAAGCCCGCAGTTCACCCAGCAAGCCTAGCGCACTAGGCCTGCTGCAGCAGGCGCTCGCTCCTCTGGCGACCATATCATGGCTGGAGACCTCAATCTCCACCACGCGATGTGGGCGAGCCGGGGCTACCGGCACCGGCTCGAAGCGGCTGACCGACTGATCAACAACATGGGCGAGCATGGCCTAGAGCTGCTCACTCCGTCCGGCACCACGACGTACGAAAAGATAGTGGAAGGCAGGCCCCAGCGCACGACAATCGACCTGGCATGGGCTTCCGCCAAGCTGGCGGACCGGCTAGTTCGGTGCCAAGACCACCGTGATTAGCTCCACGCTGCGGATCACATGCCGATGCTAACAGAATTCGACCTCTCACTTGCGCCGCGCGCGGAGATACGCCGACAACAGTGGCGGGAGCTGACTGGGAGGCTTTTCTGAAAACACTAGCAGCGGTGCCCGTGCCACTCCGTCCCCTGGACAACCCAGACCAGGCTGACCAGGCTGTGGAACACCTGGTACGCGCTATACATGACGCCGCGGATTCCACCGACCCGGAGGCTCGCATCTGCCAGTTCTCCCGGGCCGGCTACACGGACGTGCTGGTAATCCTGCGCGCGCAGGTCAATCGGGCACGCCGATGGGCCCGTACGGGCGACGAAACCGATGTGGAGGCGTACCGACACGCCGTTCACCAGCTGGAACGCCAGAGCGGCAGAGCCGCAAGAAGGCCACGCAGAATACAGATGGTTTCTGGAGGCTAGCTCGCTGGGCTCGGCCCCGCTGAGAGGCGCAACCACCTTCACGCCGTCGTCGGGAACTGTGAGATAGGAGAAAGCCGCAGCGCTGCGGGAGACCCTATTGCCCCCGCCCCCGGAGGCTGACCTGACCGACACAGCCGGCCATGACTACCCGGAGCCGATCCGGATGCCCGTGGTGACTGAGGAGGAGGTCGCACGCGCGGTGAAGCGCGCGGCACCCCTTAAGGCGCCGGGCCTGGATGGCATACCGAACGCGGCAATCCAGAAGGCCCTCCCGGTTATCGGGCCGTACCTGATGCTCCTCTTCAATGCCTGCCTCTCGCTCGGCTACTGCCCTGAGCACTTCCGCGAGTCAAACACTGTGGTGATCCGCAAGCCGGGGAAGCCAGACTACACGACCCCTAAGGCATACCGACCTATCGCGCTGCTTAGCACGATAGGGAAGGCACTGGAGGCTGTCATTGCTACACGACTGACCTACCTGGTGGAAGCCTACGGGCTCCTCCCGGTGAATCACGTCGGGGGCCGGCGCGGCCGCTCGTTAGAGCATGCCATCCATCTATTGCTGGAGCGGGTGCACGCGGCCTGGCGCGCTGATGACCGGGTCGCAAGCCTGCTCACCCTGGACGTCGTCAACTGGATGGCGAGCTTCCTGAGCGAGCGCTGCACCACGCTGGTGCTGCCGAGGGCCCCATGGGCCGGTACAAGGTGGACACAGGCTTTCCCCAGGGCTCCCCGCTCTCCCTGTTACTATGCCTGTTCTATAACGCTGATCTGATCGATGAGATACACGCGGCTTTCCCGGGCCGGGCGATGGTCACAGGCTATATCAATGATATCTGCATACTGGTGTGGCGCAAATCGGCCCTGGTGAACTGCCGCCGGCTCGAGCGGATACACGCCCTGGCGGAAGGCTGGGAGGCGCGGCATGCCTCCCAATTCAAGCCTGCTAAGTACGGCTTTTTCCATCTCTGGTCTCGCCGTCGCGGCATACCGAAGCCTATAGGCCCGCTGGGCTCGGGGCCCCGGTTCCGTGATACTGAGGTCACTCCGGGCCCTATTCTGAAGTACCTGGGCGTCAACCTCGATGAGAACCTCACCGGCGCGACGCATGTGGACCGTATCCGAAAGAGGGCAGCTCACCTGATCACAGCACTCAGCTCCATTGCGGGCTCGACCTGGGGTCCTGGGGGTTAGGCCTGCTACATCTCCGGCGCATGTACACCGCGGTGCTATGGCCGCAGATTGCGTACGCATGCTCAACCTGGTATGTCCGGGGAGGCTTCGGCTTCAAGGGCGCTGAGACGGCGGTCCGAAGGGTGCTAGAATCAATCCAGTACCAGGCCATATACCGCATCGCTGGTGCCTTCCACACAACGGCCCGCGCAGCCCCAGAGGTCTGCCTGGATGTGCCGCCGGCGATGCTGAATCTCGCCCGCACGGCGGAGGAGGCGTGTGCACTGTTGGTGACCACTACGCCGCAAACTGCATGCCATACGGTCATTGGGCCGTAGGCCAGAGGGTTCGCGATACGCCGACCCGGATCGGGACCCCCACCTCCCCCCTGGAACGCCTGGAGCGCCAGCTTCAGGGCCAGCTCAGCATCTCTCCTGCCGACATTGAAACGATGAGCCGTTTGTGGTCAGCCCCTGGTGGCAGCCAGCCGACATCGTGATTGCCGATACCCGGGAGCAGGCCCTAGGGGAGCACCGCAAGGTGCTCGCTGGGGCCCGGGGCCTGAGCACGATCATCACCTACACAGACGGGAGCGGAACCGACAAAGGCGTCGGCGCGGCGGTGGTATCACCCCTGGGGAGCCAGGCGCGCTGGCTTGGCTCATTAGACTCACATACAGTGTACGCAGCAGAGCTCTGCGGCGTGGAGATGGCCCTGCGCCTAACCGCGCGCGCGGTGAGTCCTGTCATCCGATTCCTGAACCCCCAAAGGCAGCACCGGCTCACCATCTTCGCTGACAACCAAGCTGCCATACGGGCCTGCTCCGTCACCTCACGCAGCACGAAATATCGAATCAAACAAATCGATCCAGCGAGGCCCTGCTAGACAGGCCTCTCACTGAGTGCCCGGAGCATGGGAAGTGTAACTGATTTGAACCAATCTGAGGTCTCAAACGACTATCTAAACCGTTGAATCAGTGAATACAGACAACTACCATGATGTCATACCATGATGTCACTTTGCCTAGGAAGCAGCTGCTTATGAGCCTCAAACCTGATGAGGCTCCAGAAACGACTAGATTTCTCTACTGAGAACAGAGTACCTGGGAAATGGCAAGGTTAAGAGGCAATGGCCCCTAATACAGAGGCGGCGTCAGTATAAACAAAGAGAGTGTGTAGTGATTATTACATACTTCTCTCTTACTCTACTCCTGGGTAACAAGCTCTCCGGCAATAATCGAAGCTCCCAGTAGACTCAATGATGCGAATAGCGTACCGCTTGACATCCTCGTCTTCGGGCTTTTGCTTCAGAATATTCATCAAATGCTGTGGATGATGGGGTAGGAGAATTTGCCTTCAGTGATGTCTCTCCAAACCCTTTGTTCTTAGCATACAAGTCGCTCTGGAGATTCTGGTAGTCGTCGCGGATTTGGAAGATGATTCCGAGGAGGTCCACGAGCGGGACGCAGTCTCTGTATCTATATTAATACCATACAGGCAGGGTAAAGAGGAGCTTACTTTGTATTCTGGCTTTCCATCTGCATCAGCTTGATCGCAAGCCGGAAGAGCCCGCCGGTCTTGTTGGCAACCATTTCAAGGTACTCCTCTTCCGTGGGACAGATCAAGGAATCTCGCCAGTAGAGATCCATGCCCTGACCGCGGTGAAGTCTCAACATCTCTTCCGTAAAGATGACCAGGGCCTCAGGTTTGCCTAGCTTTTGCAGTTCCTGTTGAGCGAAGAAGTAGGCGAAATTGGCCGAGTTGATGGTCTGCGCGACGCCGAAAATGCTATGCGCGACGGGGAATCCTCGCCTTAGTTTCGAGGAGTCTTGGATATCGTCAATTCTGTGGATGTAAGCTTTATACTCACCTGGGAAAACTTGGAGAGGACTGCGTACAGTAAGGAGGCCGAATGAAGTAGGCCGACCACCCGCTTGATGACGAAGGCGGAAATCAGCTTGCCTCGGATGTCTTTGCCTGGGAAGCTGCAAAGGTAATCAAGAGGAGCCGAGATTATCTGATGAGAAGCTTGTTAGAGTACGGAAAGGTTGCTAAGAGTAAGATTCACCACGTGCCTTTTCTTGTGTGAACTTCCTCTGTTGCTGGAGGTCGGATGCACCGTGGAAGATGCAAGTGGAACTAGAACTTGTTGTTTCTTTCTCGGTCAAAGTGCCAGTTACTGTCTGAGATCGGGTTTCCTGAGGCATGAACAAGTTTAAATGAGACCATCGCGACTTTGACAGCTCTTGGAAGGGCTGGCGATCGAGCTTGTAGAGTGACATTACTGGGATCGCTACCATATTGCAGCAGATAGGGAAGTAGATTCAGAAGACTACAAGATACTACCCAGAATAGACTTTGTGGTAGCCACACTGAGAGGTATCAATTGGCGTTTTGCAGGTGTACTTTCGAAATGTGAAATATATAGAACTATACACCCAGGCACAATTGCCGTGCAGGAAGAGAATGTGAAAGCTAATCAGAACCAGAAGACAAGCTGAAATAGCTCAAGCTTGACTCTAGTTTGGAGTCAGCTTCATTTTATCCATATGCAGTGTAATTTTACGACGTCGACTGTAGTTTAAAGAAGCTAACTGAGTTCATCAAGATCATTGCCATTGCATGATTAGTGAGGGGGCAAGGGTCCTTAACAAAGACAGCATGTACAGTTCTACGCCATAAGTTTGGAAGACCCCCAAAAACCGCCGCTCACTACAATGAGTTGCCTAATCAGGATATGAATACGGCTTCAATCATCTACCTTCAGTACAATAACCATTGTTTGATATTGTGGGAGTTCTAGCTACGTCATTTAGATAATCATTATAGAATTGAGCAATGCTATTCAACTTCTCTATAAAACAATAAAACATCTTTTATTCACATTCTTTGCTTTATATAAGCCGCGGCTTGTCACTGCATAGAGGGTTTAAGGTGCGGCTGCTTAGCATACATGGTAAAATCAAGCAAATTTGCTATTCACCGTCTTTATAAACCTCCTTTATTCACAGTCTTCGCTTTATTGAAGTAGCAATTGGTCACTATTCTAGGTTGGCTGCTGGGCCAACTTTAAAGGGGAGATGCAACCTCCCCCTCTTTACCTACTGTTCTATCCCCTTTCCATATTCTCTTCTACATACAGATTTAATATATATACCCAACAGGCCCTGCTGCCCCCATTCCATCTCCAGCATTCTTGTGTTCCTGCAATCTCCGGAACGGAGCCAGTCAGGTCTGATGGCTTCGGATGATCAGGCCCGTCTTTTAAGGGACATCCTCTCGTGCAAAGGGTGACTATCAGTCAGGCCTCCATAGCAACATCGGTGCACCTTCCATTAACTGTGTCCTTGATTGCAACAGCAAGATAAAAGCTTTAGGAAGAAACATACCGGTGGGCGAGGCGGTAGTATTCTTTACTCCCTGTGGCTATCACTGTGTTTCTTAATGATCTTACTAACATTTTCGTGAGGCGAATAGCATCCGCAACCTGGCACACAGCATTGCCACACCCATATCAGCGTGGCAGAAGAACCTTTCTTCCGAAGTTGATGAGCTGAAAGGGATACTGATGGCCTTGGATGCCTCGCTTAGCTCTTTATAAAGAGCCCAGGAGAAATACTCGGCTCTTATGATACAGAACATGAAAGTATGGATGTGCATGAGCAACATCTCGATGCCAGGTTCTAAACAATAGAAGGTATGTTCTCTGGTACCGGCGGTGCTAGACGAATGCTAATGAGCTAGCCGCCAGGTACTCCCGACTCCAAGGACAAACATCTAGTACATTATTCAACTGATCTACTGCAGCCACATGAGGCAACACGCCAGCCATCATGTCCGGCCTGCCCTTGGCAGAAACAGACACACGCAATCTCGTTGGACGGGATATGAAGTCCCTTGTCAAGAAGATACGGGACCTACGCCACATAGGTATTGAGGACAGCCGGACTGCTCATGTAAATAGACATGGCGCAGCCGACCGGGACGGCATTGGAGTCTGAGGTGGGAGCATCTCCAATACCCTCGGAGAGTTTGCTCTCAAAACGAGGAGTGGATGAACTTCGGGAATGTCGACAAGCCTAGGGACTTACATCTTCCGGTAAGACATTCCCGTCCACAGCGTAAAAGCTCATCGTCAGCCTTCCCGGAGAACAAGTCATGAGTTTGAGGCGAAGGAGGTATACTAACTGCCTATCTATAGATCCTCCGCCAAGTTATTCAGATCCTTGAGTCCTCCAAGTCTCACTGGAACGATAGGAAGGTTAGTAGGCTCGAATTTATTCCCTTATTGTGGAGTGGAAGCCTCCTTCCAGTCGACGTGTTATATATACTCTTGCTAATCTGTTCAAATAGGTCGTTACTACTGTTTCTGATAGTCTAACGGAGAAATGCGGAGCGCCTGCTAATACAAATGTCTGATTCTCAAGGTTGTCTATGCCCCTCAGAGAGTGAGCTTTACTTATCCGACGTTGCTATTACACTATTACACATGGGTCAGACGATGTCCGGGTTCTAGTTGCTTAGGGTGACTGTTGGGAACTGGAACCGTGTTTAGTTGAGATCCCGAGTTTGGAGGACATACTGACAAGACTGATAAGACCTCCTCTCCCTTTAAGCCTGCTGCTGGCTGCAAGGGAGCCACGGCCAACACACAGCCAATCCCAGCCACAGGTACTGTGAACTGTGATGGCTTGAATCCCAATTCAACGCCAGATTGGGTATCCTGCTCTGCCATTTGCGCCTGGCAAGGAGGGCCTCCTAGCAGACATTGCGTCGAACCTTGAGTTCGTCAAAGCCTACATGAAGAACCCTATATGGACGACTTTGACTGCCAATATAGATATTCTCAATGGCACATCCTACGCTCCTCCATGTCGGTCCCAATACAAGAGGCCATGGAACCAGAGAAGTGCCCAATTGACCATGCTTATCCTGACGGAAAAGGATGAGTACTTTACCAACGTCAAAGATAAAGATGGTAACCCGACGAGGTCGGCCAACTTCAACTGCACAATTACCCGTGTGTGATATGTGCCCAAGGTTAGGACGAACTCATACACTGCTATTGTTGATAGTGTGGTGCGGTCCAGGAGGACAGAAGAATTTCTGTCAAGCAGCTCCTGAACCCAGGAGACCTTCTACTAACTATCAACCTAGCAATAACGACAACACTAATGAGTCTTATTGCCAGGTGAAGGTCTCCCCGAATGTGGTTTGGTTGGACATTTCGGCACTGAACTTCCCTAATCTCAGGCACAGGCACCGAATCAGCAGAATCCCAATCCATTCCACAGAATTTCACATCACCGGGAACGAGAACGGTCTTCAAGGATGGTACATCCAGGATGTGGGGAACATGCTTGGACTAATCTGGTATGAATTCCTTGAGCTTCTTGACGGCGGCCCACTCGCTTGTGGATTATGTTAATACAACGACTGAGAATTTGGGGTAGATATTTCCATGAGAGGGGAATTGACGGTATAATTATTAACCTACTACAATGAAGCAACCATTGGGTAGGCACCACCATCCGAATCCTGACATGTAGCTCGTAAGCTCCCAGCAGCTTTTCGAAACCAGACCAGACAGGAAAGAATTTGCTGCTTAGATCTGTTGTGGTGAGAGTTACGTGATAATGAAAACTGACTAGGTCATCACCATGCCTAGACTATTTGTACTGTGTTAGGGGGATTTGACAAATATGGCCCATCGCTCAAGTCATAGGTTAAGTGGTAGCAGATGCTACGCCATAAACTCAGGATCGAATGAACATTCTATAAAATCCACTGAGTCCCCCCTATGGTCCCTTGGCAAACAACTACAGTAACTAGTCGCTGGCAAGTAAAATAGCGGCTTTTTATTCGCTCCCTCACTGCAGGATGAAAATACCAATGCTCCACGGTCAATGTTGTCTTCTCAAGCTGGTATACATTAGGCTAACTGACGACGCTAGGACATGGCCAATCAGGTCACATTCTCTATCATAAAACCCGATTCTTCCTTGCGGATTTGGCAAAGTCCTTGCGACTAGCTAACGACTCCGCTGAAGCAGTGGAATTCGTCTTTTTAAATGGTCCACATACGGCCAATCTTGATGTGGATAGCGATGCGCGAGTGTGGGGTTTTGGAGACTTTGAACAAGGCACTATCACTGGCTTAGATGAGACACAACGGCTTGTCCTTGATGTCGTCAGAAGCGAGGGCCCTTATACTGCAGTCATCGGGTTTTCTACAGGCGCTGCTATTGCAGCAATAATTGCCTCGCAACTGGAGAAGCGCCAGCATAATGGTCACCTGGTAGAGCCCATTTTCTGAAATAAGTTATTTGCGTTTGGTGACTAATCCGCTGGAATTTATTGATAGGAAGAATACTTGCCTTTTAGGTTCATCATTTGTTTCAGTGGGTTTAAGCTGGGGAGCCCTTGTTACCGCTCTCTTTATCACCCGACAATTCAGACTCCGGCGCTGCATTTTGCGGGGAACCTTGACTGTATGATCCCAATGCAGCTCACACAGCAGCTTGCGGAGTGTTTTTCACGGTCTAAGATCAATGTCTTTGAAGGTACCCACCATGTTCCTTACAGTGTAGATGCTGTTCAAACTATCATCAAGTTTGCACGTGATAGTCTAAAACGTGATATCCCTGGTGGAGCGAAAGATGGGGCCCACTGCCAGACCAAGGGTACTGAAAAGAGCTACCATCTGGCTATTAAGCATATTGACTTGTCGCCATGATTACTGGTACACAATTCGCGAAGATTGTTTCTTAAGTTCCTAGTTCTAGTGATAGGTTTGTTATGCCGGTTTCTATAGCGCCTTTAAGACACCTGGTAAGCATAGAGAATGTGCTTTAGAATACCGAGCGTGCAAATTAGGTTTAAGCGATTCTATGTTTATCCTTGCAATGGCTGGAACTTGAGACAAGCCAAACATGAATACTTCGAAAGAAATTGAGTAACGTCAAGTAGATGATAAGCTGTTGGATTCAGCAGAGACTGTAGACGGCAATATGTAGAAGAGGAGTAAAAAAGATAGATATGGCATGGGAGAGTTCAGCACCTCACTGAGGAGATAGAGCTGAACTACTGTACAGTGAACCTTGAAGGCAACAGGGGCTCTCGACAGAGAGTGACGTGTAAATTTTGAACATACCCATCTTGCGAATGTTTTCTGAAAACAAGACTCGCAAAGCAACATTGAAAAGGTTTGTCATACTACTATACCCAGAAGGGTAACTGTAAATGATCATTCACCACTTAACTAATTCACTCATACTGTACC